CGCGGCAGGGGTCCAGCGCGCAGCAGACGCGCGCGCCGTCGAGGCCGCATTTCGCCTCGGACGCCGCGCCGCGCGGCGACCCCTCGGGGTCGTCGGTGCGCCGCCCGAAGCCGCTCCGCGCGTAGCCCGCGCCGGCGCCGACGCCGCTCCGCGGGCCGCGCCAGAAGGCGACGCGCAAAGCGTTGAGCGGCACCGCGCCCTCGAAGGCGACGACGGCGGCGCAGTAGCCCGCGAAGCCGTGGAGCGCGCGGACCGCGGGCGGCTTGAGCGCGGCCCGCGCCGACGACCGCGCGGGCGCCGAGCCGTCGTCGCGCTCCGCGTCGTCCGGCGACGGCATGGGCACGACGAGGGGCGCGCCGAGCGCGAGGCCGTCGACGCTGACCTGGACCTCCGCGCCGCTGAGGTATTTCTGCGCGTGCGTCACGGCCAGCAGCCGCCAGCGCGGCGCGTAGAGCCCCGGGGCCGTGCCGTCGGCGCCGTGGCCCGCGCCGCCGTCGTCGGCGTCGTCGCCGTCGTCGATCTGGCGCTCGACGACGCCGCGGCTTTTTCCGCCCGAGAAGACTTCCACCGACCACGCGACGCCCTCGTCCCGCTCGCCGGGCGTCACGACGACGCGCGTGCCGCCGCGGCCGACCCCAAAGGCCTCGAAGCGCCCGCAGTGCTTCGCCTCGCGCACCCAGGCCAGCAGCGTGTAGCCGCGCGCGCGCGCGGCCCGCCGGCAGAAGCCGCGCGCGCCGCCGGGTAAGAGCTCCGCGCCCGCGGACGCGCCGCCGTCGAAGACGAGCGCGCCCCGCGACGCCTCGTCGTCGCCCGCGAGCGCCGTCGCGAGGCGGTCCGCGAGCGCCGCGCGCCGGGCGCAGGAGCCCTGCGACCGGCGGTCCATGAGCGCCTTCAGCACGCTCCGGTACTGGGCGTGGGTCCGGGCCGCGGCGGCCTCGTCGGCCGCCGTGTCCTGGAACGACCAGTTGTCATTGATCTCGGCCACGAGGCCCTCGTGGGTGAGGACCATCGTCGACGATTTGAGCCGGAGAACACGGCGCGGACGAGAGTGTCCGCCGCAGCTCAGCTCGAGACGGCTCCGACTCCGGGACGGCTCGCGCCGGTGGTTGAACGCTGCCGTGCAGTCGCTCCGTTGCTCTCCCGCTCTGCGGCGTCGGGCAGCCTCTGCGAAACGCTCGTCGTCGTCGACAGCCACGAGCACTCTCCCTCGCGCGCGGGGCAGCCTCTGCGAAACGCTCGCGTCGTCGACAGCCACGAGCACTCTCCCTCGCGCGCGGGGCAGCCTCTGCGAAACGCTCGCGTCGACAGCATGCTGCGCGCCTACCTGCTGCCCAAGGGCTACCCGGACACGGTGAGCGGCGTCTACGTCGCCTACCAATGCTTCGACACCATGCAGGGGCTCATGTCCTACCTGAAGGGCGTGCTGTGCACCATGTCGTTTTTGCGCGGCCTCGGCGTGGGCAGCGGCGGCGGCGCGCTGCACCAGGCCATGGTCGTCTGGATCGTCCGCGATGGCACTTCCTGCCTCTCGGGCCTCGCCGCGGGCAGCCCGGCGCTGACGGCGCGGTTCGCGTCGCGCTCGCAAGTCAAGACCTACCGCCTCGGCGCGGAGACGCTGCGCGGCGTCGCGGGCCTCGTGGAGCTCGCGGCCTCGACGCGCGGGCCGTTCCTGCCGCTCATCTGCGCGGCGACGGTCTGCAACTCCTTCGCCGGCGTCGTCGACTCGTGCACGCGGTCGTCGCTCATGACCCACTTCGCGCGATCCGGCAACTTTAGCGACTGCTCGGCGAAGGAGGGCAACCAGGACCGGGCCGTGAAGCTCGTGGGCATCGCCGTCGCGGCGCAGTTCCTCGCGACCGTCGGCGGCAGCGCGAAGGCCGCGTGGGCGGCCTACGGCCTCCTCACGCTGCTCCACCTCCTCTTCAACGCGCTCGCCATGCGCGCGCTCCAGCTCGACGACGCGACGAAGCGCGACTAGCGCAGTTATCGCGACGCCTTCGTCGTCTCCGCGTTGACGTCGAGGCCCTCCGCGTAGAGCCAGACGCCCTCGCGGCGCCTGAAGACGCTGCGCTCGAAGAGCGTCACGGCCTTGGCGCCGTAGCCCCGCTGCTTCGCGGGCTGGATGTCTGCCTCGAAGGTGATCTCGTGCTCGTCGTCGCCCTTGCACTCCTGGCACTTGACCCGCAGCGCCGTGAACCGCGACGCCTCGAGGCCCTTGGACATCTTCGCGACGCGCTCCGCGCGCGTGCCGGACCCGTAGTCCTTGTGGTCCGGGTGCGTCGTGTCCACGAGGAACTCGGGGAGCATGAGCGAGAACGCCGCGTACCGCGACCGCAGCAGCGACTCGGGGTCGGGCACGGTCGTGTGGTCCGCGTGGTATTGCGCGCAGCAGGTCGCGTAGGGCAACCCGCTGTGGCAGGGGCAGAGCTCGGGCGGCGGCTTCGGTTTCGGTTTCGCGTCCTTCTTCTTTTTTTTGGGCTGCCTGTTAGTAGCGGCGCCGAAGCCCGCGTCGCGGCGCAGGACGCAGCGCGGCTGCGGCTTTGCGACGAAGCCTTGCGCGACGTTGAAGACGAGGAGCAAGACGACTGCGGTGCGCGAGGAGATGACCATTGCGCCTGCGTGTGCCGCGTAGCGGCGCGGCGGCGTCCAGCCGAGGCTGTGATCACGTGACTTCAGGACGACGTCGAGCGCGCGCGACGACGACGGCGGCGGCGAGGCAACCTTGCGACGACGGCGGGGCGGCGGCTTCAAGCCTTCAACTACGCTCAAGCAAAAACTCGCAAAAATTGTGGTAATTTTGGTGCGCGCACGGCGGAGACCGAGGCGTCGCGTTGAATAACGCGCGTGCGGCCCCGGCGGCGAGGCGTCGCGTTGAATAACGCGCGTGCGGCCCCTCACTTTTAGAGAGGGCGCGCGCCAGGACGGCACTCGCCCCCCTCGGTGATCTCAAGAAGTCTGATGGACCTCGATTGGACGACGGTTACTCACTTTAACCAGACCGCATCAAACGCGACAGGGGCACCACATCAGGCGTCGTGGTGGGTCGCCATCGGTCTCGGCGCTTCCTTCGTCGCAGCGGTCGTAATCATCGTCGGCTGCGCGATCCGACACCACGGCGACTACGTCGAGCGCCGCGAGTTTCGGCGCGATCTGCGCCAGGGCCTCGAGATGGTCGGCTCGCCGCTGCGGAACGTCGAGCTCGAGCGCCTCGCGGGCGACGAGGAGGACCGCATCGTCGACGCCGCGCTCGACGAGCAGAGCCACGAGGTGCCCCTCGTCGACGACCCGGCGAGCCCGTCGCTGCCGCGGAAGCGGTCGCAGACGCCGCTCGAGAAGGTCGTCGAAAACGTCACCGGGAAGCTCACGCACCTCTAGGGACGGGTAAAAAGTTCAGCAGGCGCATAGGGCGCAGGATGAGACCTGGGTTTCAAACACAGCGAATCTCAGCCCAACTCACCAGGGTTGCCTACCCGGGCGAAAAAAAAAAAACAAGATTAAAGTTCCGTGTTGACGATGCGGGGCGCGGGCGTGCCGCCGAGCGGGGCGCCGGGCGCGGGCCGCTCGCGGGCCGCGGCGCCCGCGCGGCCGCAGCCGAAGAGCGCGGCGACGTGCGGGTCGCGGAGCGCGGGCCGGAGCGCGGGCGCGAGGAGCCGCGCGCAGAGCTCGTCCTTGATGAAGCCCTCGGCGTCGTCGCCGCACTGTAGCCCGGGCGCGTGGTGCTCCCGGAGGTGGTCGCAGAGCTCGCGGCCCGGCTCCGCGACGAGGCTGTCGCGGCGGCTCGCGGACGTCACGCGGCGGAGCACGCGCGGCGCGGGGCACACGAAGTCCCAGCCGAGCACGGCGGTCGGGTTCGCCGGGTCGTAGCGGTAGCCGTTGGCCCGCTGCCACTTGGCGAGCTCCGAGGGGCCGTCCGCGGCCTCGAAGGAGCCCGACGCCCACGGCGGCCGCGGCCGGCCCGGCGCGAGGTAGCAGGGCCAGGACCGGCGGAAGCCCGACGCGGGCTGGCCGTCGCCGACGGCCGCGGCGAAGGCCGTGAAGTGGCGCTTGCAGTCGTGGCCCGCGGAGCCCACGGCGTCCCGCCGCCAGCAGCCGTCGAGCGTCGCCCGGAAGCACGCGAGGAAGCGGCCCGGCACGGCCCAGGCCAGGTCGCCCGCGCCCGGCGCCGCCTCGAGCGTGTCCGTGAGCAGGTAGTCCGTCGGCGCGTCGCCGAAGGCGCCCGGCGGCGCCGCGATCGGCGCCACGGGCGCGACGTCGAAGCGCGTGACGATGACCGACCGGTACTGCTCCGTCGGCCCGAGCGCCGCGAGCGCCGCGTCGAGGCCCGCCTTCGCCGGGTAGGCCTGCGTGAGCGTCTCGGGCGTGCGGGGCAGAGGCTCGGCCCAGGCGACGTGGGCCGCGCCGCCGTACATGGCCACGAGGTCGTCCCACCAGCGCCGCGCCGTCTTCTCGGAAACGCCCGGCGCGCCGAAGCAGCCGTAGCTCGCCAAAAAAATCTTCACGTCGACGCCCCGGTCCGTCAGCGGTGTGACGATCGTGTCCATGACGGCCGCGGCCGTGGCCCGCTGCAGCTCGAGGGAGTGGGGCGCGCAGACGAGGCCCCGCCGGAGCTCCGCCGTCGCCACGCCGACGTCCTCCAGGACCTCGACGTCGTAGGTCGCCCCCCGGAAGGCCTCGCCGCGCACGACCAGGGCCACGACGTCGTCGTGGCCCGTGTCGAAGGTCGCCTCGAAGGAGCACTCCTCCGGCGGCTCCGGCGGTGGCGACGGCGGTGGCTTCGCGCCGCGCGCGACCTCGCGCTGGAACTGCGCGACCTTCGCCTGGGCCTCGAGCGACCGCGCGCTGCCCCGCTGCGACTCGAGGGGCGGCCGCGTCGCGCCGACGCGGTTCTCCTCCGGCGCGTCCGGGGCGAAGACGTCGTTGTCCGCGAACTCGACCACAAAGTCCGCGAGGAGGCGCCCGTCCGTTCCGCTCCGCGCGCGGAACGTCGCGCCGACCAGGGTGTCGACCTCGACGGCCGCGGCCTCGGCGTCGAGCGTCGTCACGAGGGCCTCCTTGCCGCCGGCGAGGAAGGTGATCATGACCGGCGCGCCCGCGGCCTCCGCGGACTCGGCGCGCGTGTCGAGCGAGAAGACCGCGACCGCGGGATCGCCGGGCCTCACGCGGCTCTCGGCGCGCTTCTCCTTGAGCCGCTTCGCCTTCTCCTCGTCGCGGATCGCGCCCATCAACGCGTCGATGTCGCCGCCCTCGGCGACCTCGTCGAGCTTCGCGTTGCCGGACCCGCCCCGGCCCGCCGTCCCGCCCACGCCGCCCATCATCCCGCCGAGACCGCCCATGCCGCCGCCGCCCATCATCCCGCCGAAACCGCCCATGCCGCCGCCCATCATGGCGCCGAGGCCGCCCATGGCGCCCTGCTGCTCCTGGGCCTCCTTGAGCTTCTGGCGGATGAGCTCCGGCGTCACCTCGACCTTCTCTTTTTTCCCGCGCTTCGCGGGCGCGGCCGCGGCGCCGGCCCGGTTCTGCTCGCGCTTCTTCGCCTCGTCGCCGCGGATCTGGGCCATCATCGCCTTCATCTCCGGGTCGCTCGCCGCCTGGGCCTTGAGCATGTTCGCGAGGCCGCCGTCCGCGTCGTCGCCCGGCGAAGGCGCGGCGGGCGCTTCCTTGGCCTTGGCCTCGTCGCCGCGGATCTGCGCCATCATGGCCGCCATGTCCGGGTCCGCCGGCGCGGACCCGCTCGCCGCCTGGCGCTTGAGCGCCGCGTCGACGAGCGGGTTCGCCGCGGGCGCGGCCGGCGCGGCGGCGCCGCCGCCGCCCTGGCTCAGGAGGCCCTTGCCCTTGAGGGCCTGGATGACGGCCTCGGCGCGCGCGCGGCCCGGCGGCAGCGTGCGGCCCGCCTCGTCGGCGACGCGCTGCGCCTCGGCCTGGTCCATCATGCTGCCCATGCCGCCGCCGCCCATGAGGCCCGCCAGCGGGTTGCCGCCGCCGGGCAAGCCGCCGGGAGGCAGCCCCTGCTCGACGTCCGCGCCGGCGAACTGCGGGAACTGCTTCTTGAAGTTCGCCATGGCGTCGTCGGCGCACGCCGCCGCGGCGAGCGCCGCCAGGACGCGGAGCGTCCTCGCCATCTCGCTGCCCAGCTGTACAATGCGAAGTGTTTCTCTGCCAGTCGGATGGTGCAGGGCACCTTTGACATCCTGAAACAGACGCCTGGGACGATGAAGGCGTCGACTCTCATCGCGCTCATGGTGCCCGTCGTGGCTTTGTGGATCTCGGCCGTCGTCGCCTTCGCGCGGAGCCTCGAGGCGTGATGATGAAGGTCGTCGACCGGGGCTTCGCCGAGGGCCGCGTGACGCCGCGCCTCGGCGGGGGGCTGCCCCCGGCGGGCGAGGGGGCGTCGCCGCGCCTCGCCCTGAAGGACTGGAGGCGGCGGGCGGCGAGGGTGAACAAGGAGACGGCGGCCCTCGAGGAGGCCGTCGCCGCCGTCGACGACAGGGAGATCGGCGCGGGCGACGACGCGGTGCTCCGAGCTTTATCCGTCTTGTCGCTGAGCGCGACGGCGCAGCGGGCCGTCTGGGTCGAGGCGCTGCCCGAGCTGCTCGCCCTCGACGGCGACGACGCGCTGGCGACCGTCGAGGGCCTGCCGACGCCGCGGCCGCCCGAGGGCCGCCTCGGCGCGGACGTCGCGGCGGGCTACGCGGCGCTCGTCGAGGCCGCGGAGGCCTTCGGGTCGGCCTGCCCCGCGGCCCTGGAGCGGCGCGGCCGCGTGACGAGCGAGCTCAAGAGACAGCGCGACGCGCTCGCCGCCGACGTCCTCGAGAAGCGCCTGGAGCTGCAGGACGTCAAGGCGTCCATCGAGCTCCGGAAGCTCAACGTCGCCAAGCAGCAGACGGCGCTGGCGACCATGTACCGCGAGCGCACGGCCGTCTTCGACGTCAAGCTGCTGAGCGAGGCGCTGGCGCGCCAGAAGCACCGGGGGCGCCTGAGCCACGCGCCGACGGAGCGCGGCGGCGCGGCGGGCTCGCGGCGGGACCGCGAGGCCGACGGCGTCATGCGGTCGCCGGGCGTCGCGGCGCGGGGCCTACCGAGCGGGGGCGACGCCGGGGCGGACCTGCTGGAGGAGGTGCAGCGCGCGGAGCAGCGCGCGCGGTGGCGGAGCCTGCGCCTGAGCCCGTGGACGGCGATCACGCTCAACAACTTCTTCGCGGGCCACTGCTACCGCTGGGCGCGCTGGTCCCTGGACCGGCGCCACGACGCCGTCACGGTGATCCAGGCGCTCTACCGGCGCCAGGGGGCCGTGCTCGTCGTGCTCCTCGCGCGCGCCGTCGCGGAGGCGCGGCGGCTCCGGCGCGAGGCCGCGGCGACCTTCGTCCAGCGCCACGCGCGCGGCGCCCTCGGGCGGGCCCACATGGGCCGCATCCGCGAGGAGCTGCGCGACTACGAGCGGAAGCGCGTCACGCTCCAGTCGTTCGCGCGCCTCGTGCCCGCGCGGCGCCTCGGCCTCCGCTGCGTCAACGGCGACCGGCGCACGGCGGCGAACATCGCCGGCGCGGGGCTCAAGGAGGTCCACGGCGCGCTGCTCGCCGTGGAGAAGGCGCTGGGCTACGGCAGGGACGACCCGCTCTGGCTCGCGCGCGAGGGCATCGCGCGCGCGCGGCTCTTCGCGGAGCTCGAGCCCGACGGCGTCGTCGAGCCGGGGCCCGCGCGCCTGGGGCAGGCGGACCACGGCGACGCCCACGGCGACCACGCGCCCCTCGGCGCGCACCCGTCCGTCGCGCGCCTCGTGTCCACGGCCGTCGCCGCGCTCGCGGACCGCTTCGAGGCCGCGAAGAAGGCCACGCGCGCCCTCTCCGACACGACGGCGGGCACGCTCCTGGCGCCCCAGCAGGCCGTCGTGCTGAAGTAGCCGCTTCTTTTTTTTTTGGTCGGAATGTTGAAGGCAAATTTACCTTGGTTGCGCTATCGCATATGAGCTGTCAACTCGGACTGCGCAGCAATTGTATTGCAGGCAGTCGGTGCGAGTGATGGCGGGATCGCTCCTCCTCCTCGTCGCCGCGGCGCGCGCGCTGACGTTCGAGGGCGTGAAGAACGCTAGGCGCCTCGCCGGCGCCGCCGCAAACTTGCCCGTGTGGCGCACGGCGACCCTGGACAACGCCACGGCCGCCGACGTCGCCGCGCTGCGGGACGTCGCGCGCGTCATCGACCTGCGCAACGACGACGAGGTCGCCAAGGGCGCGAAGGCGCGCTCCGAGGCCGCGCGCGAGTATTACGACGCCGCGCCCGTCTCGAACGCGCCCTTCCTCGGCGACATCGACGCCTTCTGGGGCGGCGTGAGCGCCAACGCGCCGCCGCTGCCGCTCTGGCCGCGCGTGAGCATGCTCTGGTCCGCGCGGCCGCTCAACGCGGCGCTGTCGAGGGCGCTCGAGGACGGCGGCAACGCCGCGCTCTACGTCGCGATCCTCGACTCGGCGCCGACGACGGTGGGCCGCGCGTTCGAGGAGGTCGTCGCCTGCGTCGACGCGGGCGACACGGTGCTCTTCCACTGCCAGAAGGGCAAGGACCGCACGGGCATCCTCGCCGCGTTGCTGGAGGAGGCCTGCGGCGTGGCGCGAGCGGACACGGTCGCGTCCTACGGCCTGTCGGGCGCGCTGCTCGGCGGCGACGACGCGCTGCCCGCGGCGACGGGCAAGCGCAAGGACCCGGACGACCCGGAGGTCGACTGGTCCCGGTTCCGCGGGTCGCCGCCGGACGCGATCGCGGACACGCTGAGCTGGCTCGACGCGAGGCACGGCGGCGCGGCGAAGTACCTCGTCGACGCGTGCGGCGTCGACGCGGCCTCGCTGGCGACGCTCCGCGCGAAGGCCGGGTAAGGTTCGGAGGTCTGGAGCGTGCCGGGGAAACTGCAACATCGGAGATTTTTGCAGTCAAGTTGCCGCATGGAAAACGCCGAAGCTCACGAGCCATCTCGTCCAGTCGAAGCATAAAGATGGTCAAGCTCGACGCGGCGCAGGTCAAGACCAAGGAGGTCCTGGGCTGGACGGGCCTGCACCTGTTCCACTACAAGGACAGCACCTGCAGCCGCAAGGTGCGCACGGTGCTCGCGCTCAAGCGGCTGGACTACACGGGGCACCACATCGAGCTCAGTACGCGCGAGAACATCAGCGAGTACTACCTGGGCATCAACCCGCGGGGCCTCGTGCCCTGCCTCGTGCACGACGGCGCCGTGATCATTGAGTCGAACGACATCGTCGACTACATCGAGGCGGCGTTCCCCGAGCCGCGCCTCGTCGACGCCGCGGCGGGTGCGGCGGGCGAGGCCGAGGACAAGCTGCACCTGGCCATGCGGGCCCTGACGTTCAGCATGAAGATCCCGCCGGGCGCCGCCGCGTGGACGGACGCGCAGGCGCGCAAGTTCGCGACGCACGGCGAATCGGTCGAGGGCGGCGGCCAGGACCACAAGGCGCAGTTCGACTTCTGGCAGCGGTACACGGAGAACGGCGGCGTGCCGGAGGTGCTCGTCGACGACGGCGTCGTCGCCGCGCGCTTCGCGTTCGACGCGTTGGAGAAGACGCTCGGCGAGGGCGGCGGCGACTTCATGCCGCCCGTGTCCGCGGCGCCGACGCTGACGGACGTCATCTGGTTCCCGACGGTGCGCCGCATCAAGCACTGCGGCTACGACCTGTCGCGCCACCCGCGGCTCGAGGCGTGGGAGCGCGCGTGCCTCCGGTGCCCGGCGTTTGCCGCCGAGGCCGAGCCCGCGGACCTCGTCATGGCGCCCGCGCTCCAGGCCTACCTCTACCTGTCCGGCCGCGACTTCGAGGCCCGCGCGAGGCGGCTCCTGGGCTAGTTAGTGCGAGAACATGGGGTCGAAGAAGCTCGGCCGGGCCGCGGACGCCCGCTCCGTCGCGGGCCGCGCGGCGTCGACGTCGAACACCATGTTCTCCGCCGCCGCGTCGCGCTCGCGCGCCGCGCGCTTCGCCGCGAGCATCTGGAAGCCAAACTCGAGGCCGTAGACCTCGTCGTCGTCGGCGCCGCGGACGACGACGTCCCGCGTCTCGTAGCCGGCGTGCGCGCCCGGCACCGCGACGGTGACGACGAGCAGGAGCGGCGCGTCGTCGACGCGTCTCACCGTTAACACCTGGTCCGGGTCGACGCGCCGCGCCTCGATCATGCGCCACGTGTCGTCGGTCTCGTGCCAGTTCTCCGGCAGGTCGTCGCGCGCGCGGTCCTCGAGGACTTTAGCGTGCCGCGCCAGAGCGCGGCCGAGGCGCGCGAGTTCCGCGTCCGCGTCCGCCGCGGCGTCGCGCAGGTCCTCGGGCGCGCCGTCGCCGAGCGCGTCCAACACGCTGGCGTGCTTCCGGAGGACCTTGCCCAGCCGCGCGGCGTTGTGCCCCGCGACGGCGGATCGCGCGTCGACGAGCGTCGCCGCGGCCGCGAGGAGCGCGTCGACGCGCGGCGACGGCGACCCCAGGCGCTGGACGTCGCGCACGAGCCAGCGGAGCTTGCGCAGCGACGCCGCGTCGACGTCCTCGCAGTGCGACGCGATCGTCGGCGCCGCGCCGGCGTCGAACGGCTTCAGCTCGACGCCGCCGCGCGCCATGGCCGCCGCGAGCGCCGCGGAGAAGACGCGGTGCGTGAGGTCCGCCTCGCAGCACCGCGCCTCGGCGTCGACGGCGGCGACGAGGCGCCCCGCGGCGCGGAGGCGCGCCGCGGCGTCGACCGCGTCCGCGAGCGGCCCCGCGCGCTCCGCGACGGTCTCGCCGCCGCGGTCCGGCCGCTCGCCGAGGAGCGCCTCGCGCAGCCGCAGGGCGACGGCCGCGCTCGCTTCGAGGTGCGTCGTCGCGTCGCCCCGGCAGCCCAGGTGCGCCGCCGCGTTGATCGCGCGCCGCAGCGCGTCCGCGTCCTCTCGGCGCGCGGCGAGGCTCCCGGGCGCGCCCGCGAGGGGCTCGACCGCGGCGAGCGCCGCGGAGAGGGCCGACGCCGCCGCCCGGTCGTAGAGCTCGTCGCGGAACTCCGCGACCTCGCCGAGCGCGTTCGACAGCCAGAGCGCGCGCGCGACGGCCGTCGCCGGCGAGGGAAACCGGCGCCCGTACTCGCCGCTCGCCGTCTTGTCCGTCGGCGTGTGCTCGAGGGGCGCGCCGCGCTCCGCCGCGCGCCACAGGTCGCCCAACGCGAGCGCGACGGAGTCGTCGTCCGCGCTCGCCTCGACGGCGCCGAGCACGTTCGACAGCGCGACGAGGCCCTCGTCCCAGCCCTCGTCGACGAGGCGCTGGCCCTCCGCGCAGCGCCGCGGCGCGCGGCCCAGGGCCGCCTCCGCGGGCGTCACCAGCGGGAACCGCGCCGTGCCGTGCGCGAGCGACGCCCGGAGCCGGCGCTTCGGCTTCTCGGATTTCCGCGCGAGCTCCGCGGCCTCCTCCTTCGTCGTGAGGCCGCGCGCGGCCGCGCACAAACTCCGCAAAAAGTCCTCGACGTCGTCGTCGGCGCCGCGGTCCTTTCGCCAGTACCCGAACGTGCCCCCGTGGCCCCGCGAGTCGACGCGCCAGTAGACGGGCGCCGCGGTCCGCGCGAGCGCGTCGTCGCCGCAGTCCGAAAAGTCGGGCAGCGTCGAAGCCGCGAGCGCGCCGACCTCGCGGTCGCCCCAGCGCCGCGCCTTGGCGCACTTGCGGAGCCTCAGGAGCAGGGCCGCCGCGCAGTGCATGGCCGCCGACGTGGCCGGCGGCGCCGCGTGGCCGCTGAGGGCCGGCGCGTTGAGCGCGTCGTCGAGCGCGTCGACCTCGCACTTGGACGCGTCGTACGTCCCCTTGGCCGTGCTTCCGCCGGGCCCGCCGCGGCCCATGGCCGCGCGGAGCGCGCGGATCGCCGCCTCGTGCTCGACGTGGCGCCGCGCGAGCTCGAGCTCGTCGATGCTCAGGTCCGCGGGGTGGTCCTCGGCGCGCTCCGCGGCGCGGAAGACCGCGGGCACGAGCGCCCAGGCGCCGTCCATGGCCCGCAGGCGCACCTAGGAATGTGGTGTTCGGGCGTTGTTGCTTTTTTGAAGACGCGGGCCGCGCGCGTCGCGCGCGACCGTCGCCGTGGCCAGGAGCTGCCGCGACTTCGGGTCGTGGCACTGGAGCTCCTCGGCCTCGCGCACGGCCTTCTGGAGGTCGACGACGTCGAGCTTCTCGACGTCGACGGCCCCGGGCCGCCCGGAGAGCTGGCCGGCGCCCAGCGCTGCCGTGAGGCGCGAGCACGCCGACTCGTAGCTCTCGTTGATCGCGGCGGTGACCGCGAGCTCCTTCTCGCAGAGCTTGAGGACGTCGTTCTCAAAGTCCTCGTCGGACTCGTCCTCGGAGGGCGGGAGCGTCTCGTCGTCGGCGTCGTCGTAGATGCCGTCCTCGCCGAGCAGCACCCCCGGGTCCTCGGTGCCGTCGTCCAGCTCGTCCATCTCGTCCATGGGTTCACGTTTAATTAGCGCGCGCTTCAACAAGATTTATTACACGCGACGTTCATGATGGAACACTACTGATCGACGTTCGTGATGGAACACTGATCGGCGCCGGCCATGCCCACGTTCCTGCGGTCGCCGCTGCGGTCGCCGCTGCGGCGGACGCCGACGAAGGAGAAGCGCGCCGCGCCGGAGCCGGCGGTCGACGCGGCCGCGGAGCTCGAGGCGCGCGCCGAGGCGCGGGCGCGCGCCCTGATCGACGACGGCTGGCCCGAGGAGCGCCATCCCACGCCGACGTCGGCCAACGACTGGTCGAAGCTCCTCCGCGAGGCGACCAAGTCCTCCGGCGTCGTCAAGGAGGTCGAGGTCGAATTCGCGGGCGACGCGCGGGGCCTCGACATCTGCGTCGTCGAGGACTTTCACGGCCGCCAGCTGCTCGTCGTCGACCGCGTCTGGCCCGCGAGCGACGCGCGGCACGCCGTCAAACCCACGGACGTGCTGAGCCACGTCGGCGGCCTGTCCATCTTCCGCATCCTCGAGAGCCGCGGCTGGGCGCTCCCCGACGATTTCGCGGCGCTCCGGTCCTACATCCGCGCGGCGCCGCGGCCCCTCGCCATGACCTTCCAGGGCCTGCTGGGGCGGGAGATCACGGCGCTGAGGCACGCGCGGCAGCACGAGCTCGCGCGGCGCGCGCTCGTCGCCTGCCGGCGGCGCGCGCGGAAGCGGCTCAACACGCGCCGCGCGGAAAGGGACCGCGCGGCGAGCCGCGGCCTCAAGCGGACCATCGCCGCGCGGCTCCTGGCCCACGGCATCCGCGACGAGGCGGCGCTCGCGGACGCCGTCGACCACGAGAAGAAGCTCGTCGCACGCGTCGCGCGCGTGCTCGCGCAAGCGGAGGGCGCGACGCGCGGCCGCCTCGACGCGCAGCGGCGCGCGCTCGCGGACGCCCGGAAGCGGCTGGCCGAGGTCCGCGAGGCCGTCGCGCGCGCCGAGGCGGCCCTCGACGACGACCACTTCGAGCACGCGACCGCGCGGCGCCGCCCGCCCGCGCCGCGCGACGCGGCGCCCCCGCGGCTCGCGGACGACGACGACCTCTACCCGGACGAGCCCGTCGTGCGCCGGCGGTCGTCGACGGACTTCCCCTTTTACGAGGAGCTGTAAGGTCTAGGCCGCTTCGGTCTTCGCGCGCTTCCTCGCGCCCGAGCGCGACTTTAAGGGCAGCGCGGCCTTCTCGTTCTCGACGTTCTCGACGTCTAAGGCGTCTTTGATGAGCTCCGCGTCGCGTTCCTCGGCGGATTTCACATGCGTCACTTCGACCTCAGACTTGTCCGTGGTTATCGTCGTCTTCGGAGACTGGCCTGAGAGGCCGCAGCGATTCACGGCGTACACTGAGACGTCAAACGTGGTATCTGGGTCCAGTCCCTTGATTATCAACCGGCCGGCGGAAAGACACGCGTACACGCAATTCCGATGTGAGCTCATCAAATCCCCCTGCCATAGCTCGAGTTGCTTCGTCCGCGCGTCTACAGCGAATCGATTGCCGCAAGCCTCGAAGCAGATGACGGCACCCTTTGATTTGTTCCATAGCGAGTGTGTGTACTCTGGTACCGAGAACGCCACCTTTACAGAACTGTCACCGAGGACCTCCACTTCCGGTGCCCAAGGCGCATGCGGCACGTGATCCGCCGCGCGGTACGTCGTAGCGGGAGACGGTAAACTCTGGCCAAAGGTGTTCAAGGCGACAGCAGTGACAGTGTATGTCATGGCTGGATGCGGGATCTTGATGATCGATTGTCCTCGAGTCTTATTCCGCAATAGAGGCACTTTTTTAGATACGGCGACGTCCCCTGATTCAGTCGTGAACAAGATTTCGACTTCGTTGACACTCCGTGCGAAGTGCAGAAATAGACCGTCGCCTCCTCCTGGTTCTCCGGGTGGACCACGGGTATGGCCGGGCTAACGGGCGCAGCAAAGGCTTTGGGCAGACTCCGCGGCGACTCGGGCCCGAACGCAAACTCGTCCTCTTCGCGGCAGCAGACGGCTGCCGTGTACTTCGTGCCAGCGCGCAGCCCTTTGACTTCGCAGAGGCTCGGCCCAGGACCAGTAACTCGCATCGCACGGCCCACACTGCCCGTCGGTAAAAGCTCGCTGGTTCCTGCGTCTATCATGCGCTTGTCTTCCCCTCCCTCCGAGTTGGCCTCGAAGAGGAAAACCGCGGCGTGAGAGGCTTTCGCTGGCGACTTGAATAAAATCACGACGCGCCCGGAATCCAAGGTCATCGTTGGTGCCTCCATGCTGCGCGCGCGAAGACCAAATCAAATGCGCATCGACCGGGGCTGCGGCTGCGATTTGAACTCCACCATGAGGGAAGCGTCATCTTCAACAATCGATGTGCCGTGCAGAAAACACAAGAAAATACTAATAAACAGACCCGCCTCCCGCTTCACTTCTTCGTCCCGAAGATGGCGGAGCCGTCTTGGATGGCGCGCGCGCGGTCGTCGGACATGCCCGCCGCGAACTCCGCGTTCGCGCGAGGCTCCGCGGGCACGAACTCGGGGTTGCGGTGGCGCTTCGCCGGGGAGCCGCCGACGGGCGGCGACCGCGGGATCAGGCCCGCGGGCGGCGGCGGGCGCGGCGACGCCGGGTCCGACTCCGCGGCGTCGCGCGCCGGCACCGTGAGGTCCGACAGGCGGTCGTAGAGGTCCGCGAGGTGCTC